ATGGATGCATGGATGGGTGCGTGGATAGATAGATAGGTACGGTGGGTGCATGAGCAAACTACAGGATGGATAGATTAACAATCAGAACATGCTAATCTTTATAAAAAGTCCAWATGCATTTGAATTATAAGCTTGTTCAGTTTTAAGTGCCTTTGTGGTATATTTATATCCATTTATACATCTATTTCTGTACCTCATTTGCAGTCTCATAAAGGTCATAAACCACTACCATGCTCAATTCATAAAAAATATATTTTACCTCTTCCCAGTGCCCACTAGATAAGTATTCGTTCCCTGTAGCGTCATAGGACTAGGGTTACAGCCTAGAACTCTAATAACTCGAGGAGAAAGCTGTTGAATGTTGGGAATATGGACAAGATTGCTGTTTTGTCCCACAATGGAACTTGCTATCGACACCATCTTGTTCCCCATGTCTTTACCACAGGTAMCCCACAGCGAGCTGTGATAATAACAAAAATATTACATGGAATTTGRTCAAATCTATTGTAATATACATTAAATATTAAATAAGTAAATAATTGTAATGATAAACAATAAATAAATAAGTAATAATAACAAAAAACAACGACGAACAAAAGAGAAAAAAAGTTAATGGTTAAGTGGGATTGCTGTGGTTTTCCACAGGCATCCCAAAGACCATAGTTCCCAGTTCAACTCGGTCCGTTGCTACGTAGTGTCACAGGCGTACCTAGCAACCAAAGTCAGTGAATGAACTTCGAATCATTTGATCAACAAAGAGTAAACAAACGAACAGAGCTGAAGAATATGGAAGAAAGAGAGAGAACCAACGACCCTAAAACCTTCCAAAACAGTAAGATTTTATAACTAATACTTCATAAATATRAAAGTGGAGAGCGATTTTTAACTAGGTTTGTTTTGTTTTGGTTTTAGGTTCGAATCGAATTGAGGAGCTTGCAAAGCCAAAGCCTCTTCCCGCAGGCTTCCTTGACGATAAGTAAGTTAAAAGAACTAGACAAGAATCTTTTGATTTTGAACGCATCCGTAGAAAAATTAGAAGATACTGCGGTAACCAAGAAAGAAGATCTTGAGTCTTCAGATATTCTTTTTCAACATTCCTTTACACAAACACAGCGCTGCGAAGCTATGCTTGCTTCTACAGTCCACAAGGAATATTTCTGTAATTYATTTTATAATTTAGAACTACTATTCTTGCAGTTTATATCACTGAAGCAGAAGTTTTTTTTTTGTTAATTATTTACTTTGTAACTGGATCGTCGAACATCGAACGTCTTTACTATGTCACGTGTTTGATTGTCAGAAGATCTCCCCTGACAGTTACATCTGTATTCTTATTTGGATTTCACGATTCTATTTAAAAATCATAAAGATTTTATCGTGAGGACTAACTGTTTTATACCATTGATTATTTTTTACAGGCGTTCTGTTTATTGGGACAATAATTTGGASAAGGATTGGGCAAAATCTCCAATAGAAACGACACAATGTGGTATGTTGTAACAACCATTTGTTAGGAAAATGAAATTTGGTTAAAATTATCACCCTTCTTGATCGAATGTTTTCTAATTATTGGGTTTGTCGTTGTCATTATGGGCTCCTCATTGGGCATGCAGTTAAGAGACCACACAAATTCCACTAGACACCACTAAAATGTGTGCATGTCTTAGGCCGGCTTTCTTAACGAGGAAACATGTTTACCTCGCGCATGTTTCCTAGATGTTTCCCAGTTTAGCCACATGTGAAACATTGCTGCGTGCAACAAATTTTGCTTCCAAGACGCAAAAAATGTTTTTGTTGTGCGGCAGAAACATTTCATGTTTCCAAGACGCATGGAAACATTGTTTCCCGATGTTTCCTGACAGTCTTGCCACCTTAGGAATCTAGCACAAAGCATGATGGTAAAAAGAGTACTACACAAATAAGAACAAGGTAATCGATAGAATTATCAGAAAAAAAATACTCCGTTATTTTTGYCTGTTGAAATACTTACAGTTTCATAGAAAATGTTGAAGAAAAAAATTGTGAGAGGGATTTGTAGAGAAGCTAAAAAAGTACTGTTTCCCATCATGCTTTGTGCTTGTGCACATTGGCTATTGTTCATGCCTTTTGTCATGGCATCTATCACATGATGGTGATAAGCATTAATATAGTCAAAGTGAGGCATATCGATGCTTAAAAAATAAATTATGCCATCATATTGTCAAAGTAGTAGATCCGCATACTATTTAAAGTAACATGCATTTATTTTTTCACAGCACTATCAGAGAGACAAACAGATCTTGCAAAGAAAAAAGCTATTCACAAGTCGTATGTTGGTGATAGGTAAGTGAACCAGTATAGTTTTTGTGAAGGGTATGGAACAGGGCGTGGATAATACATAGGTAGATTGTACATACCAGTACATACTATGCATTTACCACTCCTGGATGGACAGCTTAATTGATGCCTAACAGGTTTTAAATTTGCAGGCCAATTGATATGGTCACTGTCAACAGATCAAATTAGAACTTGGTTATGCAGGGAGGAAAAGATCCCCCTCTTACCCCACTTTGCACTCCAGAATTTCCAATTCCCTCTGTTAGTGGGTTATGGATATTTTCTGGATATGTAATATAATACATAATATAGAGTGCAAATAATTAATCCGTGAAACACTAATTACTAAATAGTACAAAATAGTGCTAATTAAACAATAGAAAACAATGGAATTTGCATGAAATTGTGCTATTTGGTATAACTAAAGTTTCACGGTTATATTGTTTGCACTCTAGTATATTAGAAGCTAGGTAAGCATAATGCAGCATTGAATTAGCTAGGTAAGCATAATGCAGCATTGAATTAGCTGTATATGCTAATAATACTAGGGGCTAGAACCAGACATCTCTCATTTCTCATCGAAAACCTTCAAATATTGGTGTTGGTTAAAAACAATAATAGACTATGCYGTGACCCAATATTTATCGGCCTACCAAATATATACAGAACAGTTTGACTACAAAAATTTGACACAAACGTTTCTGTTAAAAATCTGTCTTACTTATATACTTATTGCAACAACAAGAATTTTTACAGTTATCTCCTATGAACTAAAGAAATACTAGAGTGCACGCACTAAAACCGTGAACATTAAATAAGTACTAATATTAGTACTATTTCATACAGAATCCTTTGTTTTCTATTGTTTAATTATCACTATTTAGTGCTAAAAATTAGTATTTGTTTCACGGATTTAGTGTGAGCACTCTAGCATCATTAGAGTGCAAACAATATATCCATGAAACACTTATTACTAAATCGTTCAAAATAGTTGTAGTTAAACAAAAGAAAACAATACAATTAGCATAAAAAAGCACAAGTTAGTATTACTAATATTTCACGGATAGAGTGCAAACAATATAACCATGAAACTTTAGTAATAC